GAAATATCACAAATTCAGCACACCCCTACTACATAGGCGAATGGAACCTGTTATCGTATCAACAAATACTATGATATCATGATAATGCTCACTTTGTTGATTTCGAATACTGGTTACAAGTGGCGCATTCCCAAATATTATTTGATTAGGTTTATTCTAGTTCCATTTTCATTCTGGAAGGTCTATTCCGTCTAAAGATCTTGGAAGGCGCATTAATGCAGACTGATTACAGTATTATCTGATTTTGCAACTAATACTAACGTGTGGCGGCGGACTTCCGCCGCTCGAACGCACCCTCCCCGCTTTCAAAAGTGGTGAGTTATAGAGCTCATATACTAATAAGAAAGTGGTAAATAACACAGTAGAAAAAAGTAGCTGGAAACGCCCTATATGGAATCCCACCCTGAACCACTTTTGTACGTGCATTAGACGAAGAGTGGGCGTGTACGGACGAGTTCCCACTTGCTGGTGTGATTCACCTCATTACTAGATAAGGAGAGGGCAGTAGCGGATCAACAGCTCGGCTTGGGCGTTGCGGCTACCAGGAGCGGTGACCTGGTTGCGAGGGGTTGCGCTTTGCTCACGTATGTTTGAGCTACGAAAGTAGTACATGCTTCGTGCTTGCGACAGGACTACCATGCCAAAGAAAGGTACGCGCAAATAACGTGACGGCCTTCGAACGGTAGAACCGCTGCTTTCTGAAGACGACAAGTTCGGCAGAAGCGTCGGCCGTATCGAATAAATGTTCCATCTCACACTTCTTAAAGGCAGCGCCTGGGTTCAATTTGATGAGTTATGGGGCTTAGGTAGTGACAAGCAAGGTAGCAAGTAGTCCATTAGTGAAAAAAATGCAAAAAAATCTTCGGATTGCCCTATATTGGACCCCACGCCGAGCTGAGGTTGTACGTGCTCAAGGCGAAAAGAAGGCGCGGCCGCACGAGTTCTCACTTGTTGATATCAGCTGTTTTCCCTTATCACCTCACTCTCACCATTCGAAGTGGAGAGAGTTGGTTGCGGAACAACCGCACCATCAGGCAACCATTAGAAATGAAGTTGGGCGTAGTGGTCGCCAGGTGGGCGGGGTGGCCGACTCTTCACGAGCGGGCGCCGCTATTCTCTCGCATTTTTGAGTTGCGAAACTAGTACGTCCACCATCCTCATAGGGTGAGCTACGATATCCAAAGAGGGCGTGGGAACAACAAATGAACGCGGGCGCTGCCTTCAAGGCATTATAAGGAAATATTCTTAAAACAAGAACTAATCTTCCATGCCAAGAATAAAGTGGTGTAGCAGTTGTCTATGCGTAGATCTTTTGGGACAAGTTCCGAATTCCATTCTCTCACCTAGAACTCGTGGAAGAATGATCATGTGACTCACAGTACAAGCTTGAGATCGGCTGATGTTTATATTCGCGTTTTGAGTCTCTGATGGTTAGACAGATCCACTGTTCGTTCATCGATTTCGTAGGGGTGAAAAGGAAAGAAGTTCAATTTTCGCTGCCAAGAGAGGCACGTCGCATGCTGGGGGTCTCCATCAAGGGGGGGGGGGATTTGGTCCCAGAGGGAGGGAAGGGAGTGGCCCCGGTAGCGTATTGGCAGGCGAGACATGCGGGTACTAGTCTCGTCCGAGGTCTCACTTTTGCCTATG